GGCTTGGCCATGGATGATACATACACCATGGTGGAGGAATATGAGGAGAGCATCCAGGAGATGGTACGCCAGCTGAGGAACAGCTCGGAGCCCCCTGACACCAAGTGCCAGGTCAGCCTGGGACTCTGGAGTCCCAACAAGAGGAGTCTGTCTCCATGGGCCTACAGGTGAGGCTGCAGGGCAAAGCACCACTGGGATGGGTGATCCCCAGCCCGGGTAAGGCCCTTCCGTGCACAGAGCAGGGCTCACAGCTGACGGCAACCCCAGTTAGATGGTGTGTAACCCTACAGTGGACACTAAGCCCACTTCACAAGCTGCTGCTCCATTGCCACAGGACCACATTCCTCCATGTGTGGCTAGTACAGCACAGGTGCCCAGGCAGAGAGAGCTCCAGCAAGCCCCTTTCTCCATGAGGAGGCTTGCTCCTTGCATACCCAGGTCCTGGCTTGCAGTTACTGTGGCACCCATGCCCATTTCCTAGGAGGAAAACCCTACCTATTCCCATGGGGCCTGCCCAGGCTGAGCAGTGTCCCTGCACCTACCCCTATCCTGCTCCCTCTCTTCTTTCACAGCATAAATCACGATGCAACACGGATTCCCACAGACATCCCAGAGGCGCAGTGCCTCTGCACCGGCTGCATCAACCCCTTCACCATGCAAGAAGACCGCACCATGGCCAGCATCCCCATCTATAGCAGGCTGCCTGTCCGCCGCCTGCTGTGCCAGCCAGGGGCCAAGGCCCCCACGAAGAAGAAGGGGTGCCACAAGAAGTACAGGATGGTCATGGAGACCATTGCTGTGGGCTGCACCTGCATCTTCTGAGGGAGGACAAGCAGGTCTTCCCAGCTCCCCCACACCCCTATGCAGAACTAACCCAAGGCCTCTGGGCCTGGAGAGCAGCTAATGTCTAAGCAGCCACTTCTCATTACAGCCATTTTGCAAGGGCCTCCAGCTGGGGCCCCCCAGCAGAGGGGTTAATAGGGCCTGGTGCATGTGGGGAAGACCCAAGTAGGTGGGAAGCAGCTACTTAGAGCCATAGGCAGTTTTCCCCTTCACTCTCACATCTCCCTGCTGAGCCTGGAGCATGACTGCAGCATGCAGCCCCCAGGAGCTGGCTTGGTGGGGCAGCCAGCACCCACACAGCTCTCAGCACCTCCCAACACACAGCCCCCTCACTTACCTTTTGGGCAGTGCATGGCACAGCTGCACACCTGTGCTGTTTCCTGGCAGCTCAGCGGCAGCAAAAGAGAGAGGTAGCCAGGATCACAGGGGAGGGGAGGAGGAAACAGCTGCTAACCAGGGCCCTCAAGCAGAGGGAAAAGGCTTCCAGTCCTGCCGGCCTTGGGAGCTGCAAACAGCACCTGCCTCTTGCTCCCATGCCCTCCAGACAGCGCATCAGTCACAGCAGCTGCCGTCCATCTCCCCCAGCTCAGGTCAGGGCACAGGCAGACACCTCTGCACCTCACAAAGACATCACCATTTTCAGGCTGAGGGCACCCAGATCCTACCCTGAAAGGAAGGAAGCTTTGCTAACAGACCTTCACCTGCCTCAGGCAGGCACCAGCTCCAGCCCAGTTCCTACCTGCTGCTGGGGTGGGGCCTCTCCA